CTACTCCTCACCTACCACCACCTACTCCACTACACCTACATCTATATAAGGAACCATTTGTAATAGACTAAAAGATCAATCAATCAATACATCAATCAATAATACATCTATCATTTTCTAACACATACTTAGCCTGAGACAAAAAATAGTTTTTTGGAAAAGAAGCAACTTCAATACCAAGAAAATACCGCAAATGACCAAGATCCTTCATCTCGAAGGTGCGGAAGAGATGCTGCTTGACCTCAAAGATAGCAGAAAAGTTAGAGCCAGTGATGATCATATCATCCACATACAGTAATAACGCAACAAATCCAGTTAGCAGAGTCCTGGGCACAAGGATGAAACCTAAGCTCAGTAACAACAGTCTGAAAGCGATCATACCAAGCACGAGAAGACTGTTTCAGACCATACAAAGCACGCCGAAGACGACAAACTTGTCCAGAGGAATGGTAAAGGCCAGGGGGAGGACGCGTGTAAACCTCCTCAGTGAGATGACCATTAAGAAAAGCATTCTTAACATCCATCTGATAGAGAGGCCAAGAACGAACAGCAGCGACGAAGATTAAAGTACGGATAGTAGTCATCTTGGCAACAAGAGCAAAGGTCTCCTCATAATCAATACCATACTCTTGTAAAAAACCTTTGGCAACGAGACGAGCTTTGTAATGCTCAAAAGAACCATCAGAATGAGTCTCGACTTTGCAGACCCATTTGCAACCAACCAAATTCTCACCAGTAAGCAAAGGAACCAACTTCTAAGTACTAGTTTTCTATAAAGTAGACAACTCATCCTTCATAACTTGAACCCAATAAGGATCCTGACAAGCCTCCTTGTAAGACTAAGGTTCTGAAAAAGAGTGAATAGCAGACAAAAAAGTATGATAAGAAACAGAAAAAAATGTATTAGACCAACCTAACCTGTTTGGAGGATGACACGCTCGAGTAGGATATCGGTGTGCAACAGGATCAGAGTCGTCAAAAACAGGAGGATCAGCAGTAGGGGTAGAGACAACCGGTGGATGAGGAGTCTTGCGACGAGAATAAACTAACAACGGAGGAGGAGAAGGAGGAGAAAACGAAGAAGAAGCAACCAGAGGTGAAGCAGAAGGAGAAGATGGAACAAGCTCAGGGGGAACTGCGGAGATGTATTCATGAGACGGGACCTCAGAAGGAAACGGATCAATATGAACCAAACCCTGTTTGGAAACTGGGACATGAGAGGAAGAAGCTGAAAGTGAAGTAGACGTTCAAGAAAGGTAACATGGTGGGAGACATAAAGGCGACGGGAAACATGGTCATAACAGCGATAACCTTTTGAGTGAGACTATAACCCAAAAAGACACATAAGACATACCGGGCACTAAGTTTGGCCCTATCTTTACGGGGTAAAAGAACAAAACAAGCAGATCCAAACGCACGAAGGAAGGAGTAATTGAAAAGTTGAGAAAATAGAGCCGCAAAAGGACAAAACGAAGAGGGGTAGGCATACGTTGAGAAGAAAAGCAGCAATAAGAACTACCTCACCCCAAAACGGAACTGAAACGGAGATAGAGAGAAGGAGAGACCTAGTTGTCTCAAAGAAATGACAGTGTTTACGCTCAGCTCGACCATTTTTTGCAGGTGTATCAGTACAAGAAATTTGGTGAATGGTACCAAATTTAGCTAAATATTCACAGAATTCAGTTTTAAAGTATTCCCTACCCAAGTAAGACCGCAACAATTTAATAGTAGACCCAAACTGTGTAATGACCATAGACTAGAAAGTATGGTATATCTGGTAGAAGTCAAACTTATGAGTCATAAGATAAACCCAAATGTAACGAATGCAGTCATCAATAAATGACACATAATAGGCAGAACCCCCTTTGGTGAGAATAGAAGAAGGGCCCCAAACATCAGTATGAACTAAAGAAAATGGTGTATCAGATATAGAAGTACTTTTATGAAAAGGTAAGGCTATCATTTTGGCAAGTTTACACCCCCGAAATTCACTAAGTTCACTAGAAGAAACTTTACCCAATATACCAGATTAAGCTAAAGACCGTAAGCGATCAGCAGACAAATGCCTTAATCTAGACTGCCACAAGTAGAAAGGACTAGACAAAGAATCTAACTGAAAAGAGGAAAGGGCAGTCAGAGAAGTTGCCACAGGCAAATACAAGCTCTACACCACATAGAGGTCTCCAACTCTATGATCGGTCCCAATCTGCTGCTTAGACATCCGATCATGCATAGAACAGATAAAATAAGAAAAGATAACATCAAAACCAAAGACATCAAACTGACTGATAGATAATAAACTAACAGATAACTGAGGAACATAAAGGACAGATGGAATAAAGACAGCAGACATAGCAGACAATAGGAGAGACCCAACAGATACAACAGACATGTCAGACCCATTAGCAGCATTGACAGTAATAAAAAAAGAGAGAGGAGTACAATTTTGAAGTCAAGAGAGATGGAGAGTCATATGATGAGAGGCACCAGAGTCAAAAATCCAGACAGACGAAGAAATGCCTAAAGAAGATCTAAGCAAACCTGAATGAAGAGAAGAAATAGTGAAGGCAGACGAGAATGGCTGGGAGGTAGACAATATATGCTGAAGCTGACTAATCTAAGCAGTCAAGGAAGCCAATTCAAGAGCCAGAGCAGATGCAGTATACGCAGTAAGAGGAGCCCGTAATAGGTTCTGAAATTGCTAAAAGATGAGGCAAACAGACGTCCCTTCTTGGAACTGTGGTACATCCAATGGTCCCTTTGATGGCAGAAGGAGCACTCATCAAAAGCCAGAGACATCGTAATAATCAAAGAAATTAGGGGTTCAAGTGTAATAAATCCAAAATGGAGCAAAATAGTCAAACCAGAGGGTCAAAGGGTGATAAATAGACAATTAAGGGGTTTAAGTGTAATAAACCCAAAATATAACCAACATAGAGTGAACTTTAGTAAACCAGAGATTCAAGTCACGAACTAAGAGAGACTGAAGAAGAACCAGAGAGAGAAGATCAGCAATCTAAGCACAGTGATCACGTCAAACATATGGGTCGATCAAATGGGTTACCCAAGACCACCAGACAGAGGAGACGAACCTTGTTAGAGAAGAGAAGACCAATTATCGTCGGTGAGATGAGAGAGAGAAAGAGAGCAGACCTTCGCGCGAGGCACGAGAAAGGCAAAGACAAACAACCAGAGTTCTCTCGACTTAGATGAGCTGTGACGAGCGTCTTTGATGAGGGTTTCTCTGGGTTATGAACCAGAAATACGAACCAGATGACCAGACGAAGGACGACTTGCGACTCAGAGGGATTTTGATGAGAAAGACGATGGAGAGACAATTTCTAGGGTTCGGCTCAGAGACGACTCTAATACCATGTAAGTTTTCTGTAATGAAACTGTATATTCAATTATGTATCTTTACAAGAAAGTCACCAGTTTATATAACCCTAAACCTATGATTGAAAAAAGAAAATACGAAAAAGGAAATACAGCCAAATAGTTACACCACAATCTTTCCTAATTCCATACACAATACAATCTTCCCTAATTCTATACACAATATATTCTCACACCACCACCCTTGATGCTTTTCATTAGAATATTGTGCATCAATTGTCTTAACAACTTTTTTCATGAAATTGCTTTCTCTTAAAACTTTCAACTTAAATCAGCCAGTCTCTATGCAATCACCACACAAGCTAATCAAATTAAAAATAGTTCCAGATATTAATTTTCCTAACCAAGGTTTCAAAACACTAGTGTTTGGTCATGTATTCGTGATGACATCTCAATCATGCCAAGCCCTCCTAGGTCAGTGCTTTCATTTCACCAGCTTGCTACAAAGAGATAAGCTGACTAGTGTTTGTTACCATTATTGTAAACTTTGTCTAATATGCATTGGTGCATCCTGTTCATTTGTTTACCTCTCCATGTCACGTGAGGAGGGTATAAGGCATCTCGATATAATTGTTTGACCTATTTCCTAACAGCTTCAACTATTGGTACACTTCGTGATTCCAATCAATGAATAGAATAAGCCGTCGTTATGGTTTTAAAAAACCGAATAGAATTTGATCTTCTGATCTTCTTATAAACCCATGAATATTAGTCAAAGATGTGACTTTCATAGGTCCGATTACTCTCATAGGGCTTTTTCTGGTATTCTGTGGAATATGCATGAATTAAACTGCTTTTTCCCCTTCAGTATGCACGAGTTGCAAAGCTTCTAGTTGTTTTGACATATCGGGTGCAGAATGTGCATCCATCCTCTTACCGAATTCCCTACCATTTTTCTGTCATATTAAGTGTTGCAAGATGTTGTAATAAATATTATAGTTAAAAGATATTCCCTGAATATGGGGGGATTAAATAGGGAGATTAGGCCTATATCTCCCTCCTTGTCCAATGGTCATAAATAATTATATCTTCTTATCCCATCATTTATCACACCTTAACCAAACATATTACAAATAATCCTATTATATTTAATATTGTCATATCCAATCCTTTACCGAGTCCATTTATCCATGGTATAACTTTTCCACATAACACTATTCACAATCAGTGGCGGTTGTAGTAATTAAAATAAGGAGGCAGATTGTATGCATTTAAAAATCAACAACAAAGGTTCTAATTATTTCATCCGTAAAGAAAGTATTGTACCTAAGTTATATTAAAAGATACACTTTTATAAACATAAAAATTTAAAAACATAATTAAATCTGCAAATGAAATTCTCAGTCAATAGAATTCCTTGGAACTATCCAATCATGCCCGAGCCGATTAAGATAGACATGTATAAAACAACACTAATTTGGTAGTGCATTTTGTGATGGGACAATAAAATGTTTTGGAAGAGCCAATCCTTAGCAATTTACAGACCAAAAAAACAAAAATAATCCGTGTATCAAACGAGGCATATCTACAACCCTAGTCGACCCATTAAAAATAAATAAAAGCCATGAATTTTGAAGAGAAGTAACAGAGAGAGAAACACTGACTAGTATAAAGTCGGGTAGAGAATTGAGAGGGTTGGGGCGTTCGACGGGCGGGAGGGGCTCGAGCCTGAGGTGGCCGCTGTGGCCGGTGAACCCAACCCGAAAGGGGAGCTCGTTCACTGCGGTGATTCGATCCATTCGAATTCCCTTCTTCTCCGGCGAGTCGAATCTACCTTTTTTCGCTTTGCGCTTTGGAAGATATTCGTTTTGGCGGGGTTCGAGAGCAGTGAAAGAAGCCTCATGCGAAAAAGTATATATTGCTGTTTGGTTGCTTCAGCCAAGGTTTTTCAAAAAGGCGATGAAAGAGAAATCAGGGCTCAGTGCGTGAACTCTCACTCTCACAACTGGTCCGGATCTTAATTTTTCTTTGCTCTTCCCTTTGTATATATATCGATGGTTTGAAATAATTTAAGTACATGTATTTTTTTAATATTTTATAAAAAGATTTTTAAAAAATGACGTAATTTTTATATACAAATATAAGGATGCCAAACGACCCCATATTCTTAATTAATTTTACATTTACATGTTTTACTACTGATTTTACATTTACATATACATATATTACTTCTATATTTATTAATTTTACATTTACATATTTTACTATTGATTTTACATTTACATATACATATATTACTTCTATATTTATCCAGTTGTAATTAGGGCTGGGCATAGGGTTATCCGACCCGCCCAAACTGCCCTACCCGAACCGAACCGCAAGCGCGTGGGCAGTTTCGCAAACACATTAGGGTAGGGTGCGGGTTAGATTTTATATAAATTCCGGGTTGCGGGTTTGAACCGCACCAGCCCAAACCGCCCGCATTAAATTAATTATTTTTTTTTCCCCTCTTTCAAATCTAGCCGTCCATCACCATCTCACTCACCTCATTACAAACAAAACAAAAAACCCTAAATTCATCTCCCTCACTCTCTCAGTCAGCCTCATCTTGACTCATCTATGTCTTTCTCTCTCTCTCTCGTTTCGTTATTCTGCACCGATCACTCTCTCTCACTCTCTCGTTGTTCATCTCATCGCACCGATCATCGCACCGCCGATCTATTCACAGGTAAACTCTCTCTCTCAATCTCTGTCTCTCTCTCTCTCGCCCCGATCGTTGATTTTTTTGTTTTATATATATATATCAGATATGTCTCTGATCTGATCTGTCTCTCTCACGCTCTCATCTCATCAGATCCACAGTTTGGTTTTGCATCTCTGCACCAATCGACTCACAGGTAAGCCCCTCTCTCTCTCTCTTTCTCTCTCTCTCATCTCTGCACCGATCGAATCTAAATGTTTCTTTGGAAATAAATTTGATTTTTTTTTTGGACCAACATATCTGTTCTGTTTGTTTTGGAATCTGTTTTAATCTGTGTTAATCTAAATCTGTGTTAATCTTTGTTGAATCTGTTCTTAAGAATTTGAATCCGTGTTCTTAAGAATAATCTGAATCTGTGTTAATCTTTTATATATATATATATATATACAAATTTGTTCTTAAGAATTTTTGTTGAATCTGTGTTAATCTGAATCTGTATTTCTAATGTAAGTTTACATTCTGAAAAAATAATTTTATTAATTGTTGAATTTTGTAAGTTTACATTCTGTAAGTTTACATTTTGTTGAATTTGTTCTTAAGTAATTTTTATTAATTGTGTATGTTATTTAATTCTGAATCTCTCTCTCAATCGAGGATTCTCCCACTAGAAGATGAAGCTCAAGCAATTGGAAGGTCATCTTGGATCCCTTCAACAATTCTCGAACCCAAAGGTCTCTTTCTCTCTCTCTCTCTCTCTCTCTATATATATATATATATAGAATTTCTGTGACTGAAGTGAATATCATGCTCTGCTTGTGCTGCAGATTGAACTAGAACAATACTCAACTGGACCCCATATCGCTTCTCGGATGTTATACACTGTATACTCTTCTTTCTCCTCTAGCTTTTCTATCTTCAAGGTTTTCTATATATATATTTTTTTTTTTTTTGGGTTTGTGTTTTTGTAAATTGTTGTTTTGTAAAAACATGTTTTTGGAAACCTATTAGGCAGAGAATTCATTTGGGGATGTGGCCAACAAGGTAGTGGCAGATTTTGGTTATGGGTGTGGTACATTGGGTATTGCAAGCTTGTAGCTGCTCTCTTAGGTGCAGAGTCAGTTGTTTATCTATCTTCCTTTTTATTTTATGAGTTTTTTATAAGTTTTAATTCATTAATTATTAATGTTGGAGTTTTTTAGAAAATATGAGAAATAATGTCCAAAATAAATATTGACAAAATGGGAGAAAAAAAAGGTTTAAAAATAATTTTTTGAAAAAAAAGTTTAATCCGCAAACCGCTCGCAACCGCCCGCACATCCGCGAACCCTATCCGCACAAACCGCAAACCGCATTGCGGACGGTTGCGGGTTGAGTTTTTCCCAAACCGCATAGATGCGGGTGGGTCCAAACCGAACTGCAAACCGTCCCAAACCGAACCGCGGACACCCCTAGTTGTAATACGCATTGGATTCTCTTTTTTGAAGCTCACAAATTAATTTTAAATTTTATACCGTAAATTACAGTTCACGACTATGTTTAGGCTTGAAATTTGATTTGTAACAATAGCTACCAAACTACTATAAAATTGGAGGATTTTTTTTTTAAGGTTCATAATGTTTAAGGTTTCTCAATATCGATTCAGAGAAATTCTCTGGATTCAAACAAGATAAAATTGAAATTTCTCTAAGTACCAAACAAATCAGAGAAAATTTGTGTGGCTATCCAGGAAAATTCTATGACTTCACAAATTTCTCTGGCTCTATTCACAAAGAATTTCTCTGACTTTGTGTAATATGTAAGCCAACAATACAGTCTTTACTAACAAACCCACAAATTTCTCTGATCCAAAATCAGAGAAATTCTCTCCAAACCAAACAGATCAGAGAAATTCTCTAGATTGAAACCACAAATTTCCCACTGTAAACCCACAAATTTCTCTGACCTTCCATAGACTTCCCACTGTAAATTTCTCTACCATTTCCTTCTCTCAAATTGTTTTCTCTGCCTTTCATATACTTCCCACTCTCCAGATAAATTTGAAAATTTCTCTGGCTTTTCCAACCTTCCCACAAAATTACCTCTCAAGAGAAATTTTAGAAATTTCTCTAGCCTCCTTAGCATTTCCTGGACTCTCCGCCTTCTCTCTCTATAACTCCCTTCGGCTGGACTCTCTAGAACACTCCCAAGAGAGCTTGGCGAGCTCTCAAACCTCTAAAGCCTCTATCTCAACGTCAACACACTCTCTGGAACCATCCCTATCGAGCTCGACTATAGCTCTTTTCTCTCTGACATCGATTTGGGCAACAATTTGATCAATAGGTCATTTCCCACATCGATCTGGAACCCCTGCAATCTGGTCGTTTCGCTTCGACTGCCCGTTTTCGAGCTGCTTACCAGCGAAGATCAACCTCTGTTGGTCTGGTGAGATAGCCTCATTATCTTGGATCTTAGCCTTGACATTGTCAATTGTGTCAAAACTACAAGCAAGACCATCGCAGAGTCAGCGAAAATCAACTTCTGCAGCTCGTTTATGTTTTTAGGTTAGATTCTTGCGAGTGTAAGGGAATGAGAAGACTAGAGCTCGAACTCACGAAATGGACGACGGTGACGGTGGTTAGTTGGCGGCACTGTAGTGACGGAGGTGAAGAGAGAAAGATATATATGCAACGGTGAATGGAAGACACAACGGTCAAGAACAATATGTGCAGAGGTCAAGAACGAGAACATAAAAGAAATAAGAGAGAGAGAGAGCGGGAGTGAGAGACCTTAGATGTCATAAAATAATATTGTGAATATCTTCAATTAATAAAAATGGAAGAGGGACCTTAGACTAATTTTCCTTATAAATTGTATGGATATGTTTGGTTGGGTTTTGAGAGAGTAGTTTTTAAAAATTGACTTAGGGAGAGAGTTTAGAAATTTATGTGATTTGTTTGATTGTGTATTTTGAAAGTAGTTTTGAAGTTTGGGAGTTTGGAATGATTTGATGTTCTGTTGTAATTGAGTAAATATGTGTGAGATAAAAAGTAATTGAGAATGAGAGAGCAGAGAGAAAAAATGATTGATTGATGTGTAAGAGAAATAAAGTGATTTTGAAAACTGTTTTAGAAAAAATTTAAACCAAACAAGTTTTTTTGAAATTTTTTTCCAAAATCACTCAACAAAGCCAAACCAAACAAATATTTTTCGTCAAAATTAATAACATGTGACATAAATTATATCTTATTTTAAAAAAATATATAATTGATTTTAAAATTTGATTTTTGTGACATTAAACTCGATTATTGTCAACATTAAAGATAGCGTTTAGTTTACTTTTTAAAATTCAATTATGTTTTTAAATCATGATTTAGATGTAACATATTAATCAAACATATTTTTAAAATATAACTTAAAAATTACTTTCAAAATTCATCTTTTCTCTTTATTGTTATTATTATTATTATTAATTAATAAATCATTTTTTCTGTCCTATCTATACATACTTTCTCCTCTCACATTCTATTTTTATATATCAATCAATTTTTTTAAAAAGCACAAATCATAAAAAAATTATTTTCAAAACTCATAACCAAATAATTTTTTTTTTTAAACCATAATTCAAAAACTCAAAATTTAAAATATAACTATACACTCAGAGCATGTTTGATTAGAATGATTAAAGCATGGGATTAGGATTATTAATCCGTGAGCCCAATCATCCTATGTTTGTTTTGACATTTTGGTTTAGGACTATTAATCTAATAGATAATTAATCCAACAAATTTGTAGGATTATTAGTAATGGGGTAGAGGTGGGATAGTTAATACCACACTAATTTGATAGGATTATTAATACCTCACTATTAGTAGGATTATTAGTAATGGGGTAGAGGTGGGATAGTTAATACCACACTAATTTGATAGGATTATTAATACTTCACTATTAGTATTGTGAATCAAACATGGCCTCAAATCATAATTATAAAGCTAAACCAAACTCCTCTTTGTTTTGGTAAAGAATGTGTTATAAGGGTGCCAAGAAACCCGGGTACGGACCTCACCCAGAACTGATCGGATTATGGACTATCCATACCGGTGTTAGTCAGGTTGTCGAATATCCATGTTATACCCGACCCATTAGCAGCACACCCAACCCCAATCACCCCTGCGTCTCTCCTCGCTGTCGTTTCTTGTTCGCTGCTAGGGTTTCAAATTGGTACTCTGGCGATTCATCGATCGTGTGAACCAAAGTCCGACAAAATCTGGACTAAGCGAGGACGATCAAAGAGCTAATCGACTCTGATCGGAGCAAACTATGGCGCACAGGTTGCTGAGAAACGTCGAAGCTGATGGTTGGGAACGCTCGGACTTCCCAATCATATGCGAGTCGTGCCTGGGCGACAATCCCTACGTTCGAATGGTAATCTTCTCTACAACGTCTGATGCTTCGTTTCGTCTTAAATTTCAAATTTTGACCAACAAATTGAAGTTACATGCTTGTTATCTGAAAGTTAAAATATTTTTTGTCGTCTACGAACCCTAGGGTTGAGCTATGATTCGAAGCAGCTCGAAACTAATAATGGGTAGCTTGCGTTGTGCGGATGTGTAGCGTTAATTGGGTTTTGAAGGAATTATCTCAATTGTCTGATTCAGGGGAAAAAATTGAGAATTTTGGTAGAGAGAGAGGTGGCTACTTAAAGGTTGGGATTTTAAAGTGTTAATTTGTTCTGGGATTAGGCGAGATGCGCGTAATCCGGCCGGACACCCAGTTATCAAAAAAAAAAAAAAAAAAAGCATAAGCAACAGAAAGTAGCTGTTGATAACATCTATTGACTAGTATCTTCTAATTTGTCTTGCGAGTCTTGCTAGCTAAGTGTCCCATACGAAGAACACAAAATACTTTTCACTAATTTATTTATTTTGAACAATTGCACTATTTTCCAATGTTTTTTACACAAATTTCAATAATAGACAATGACCCAGAACACTAATTAGCATTTTGTCATATTAAGAAATATTGGAATGTGTAGTAGGACAGTGGTTCTACCAGGCTGCTGGTTGATGCAATGGCTAAAGGTTGGGATGACACTAGTAGAAATAGAAGTGGAAACCGTTTTACATTCAGCTCAGTATTTTTTAGTAATGTGTATATGTATTTGTTCAGAAGACAATTGGTGACTGCTGGACTTCCTCCAAGGGTTGCCTTGTTGATTTTTATAGTTCTAGTGTTACTCTTCTTTTGTCTTGTACGTTGATTGTCATCTTGTAGAATGTATAATTCATGTTTTGAACTTTTTGCAATCTTTGATATGACATGCACAATTTAGTTTTATATATATATATATATATTTCTGTATTTGTGCAGCAAAGTGATTTTTAATTGCTTTCAACTTTAAAATGCATCAACGAGAACGAATTGTTGTATTCATTATAATTATATTTATAGCTGCTTGTCTTTGTTGAATGCAGACAAAAGCAGATTATGATAAGGAGTGCAAGATTTGTACAAGGCCCTTTACAGTTTTTAGGTGGAGGCCAGGTCGTGATGCTAGGTATAAAAAAACTGAAATTTGCCAGACTTGCAGTAAGTTGAAAAATGTTTGCCAAGTTTGCCTTTTGGATCTTGAATATGGATTGCCAGTTCAGGTCCGAGACACTGCTCTCAGTATCAATTCCAATGATGCCATTCCTAAGAGTGATGTGAATAGGGAATACTTTGCAGAGGAGCATGACCGCAGGGTATGTTTATTCATTTTCTAGATATATTTCTGTTAGCTATCCATAGAACCATGTAATGTAATGCTATTTAAAAACAAAAAAAAAAGGAAAAAAAAAAAATGCGTGATCACCAAATAAAATCATAAAACTGTGGCTACTCATAATTCTATGTTATGTTATTAGAATAGTTGAAGACGGCTTTATTTTTGTGGGGGTGTGGCAAGAGTAGGTAATTTAGCTATTTCAATAGTGCAAATGTGGAGTCTATAGAGTAGTATCATGTGCATTGAATAAAAGTAAACCAATATTTATTTTTAGGAATTTGTGAAGAGTTTCTTTTTGTCTTTGTAGCTTTTAAATGTGTATCCTGAACTGTTGCCATTAAGATTTTTGCAAATAAATGGACTTTAGTTCATGTTAAGAAAACAAATTCCTTTTCTTTTGCATTCTGTCAGATCCATGTGGTAATTAAAATGGTTCTGGTAATTTACAGGCTAGAGCTGGTATAGATTATGAATCTTCATATGGAAAGGTACGGCCAAATGATACCATTTTGAAGCTTCAGAGAACAACTCCATATTACAAGAGAAACAAAGCACATGTTTGTAGCTTTTACATACGGGGAGAATGCACAAGAGGTGCTGAGTGCCCTTACAGGCATGAGATGCCCGAAACTGGAGAGTTGTCACAACAAAATATTAAAGATCGCTACTACGGGTATGTGCAATGGTTGATAACAATTTTCTCATTATGATTGGCATAATTGAATGGGTATGTGCAATGGTTGACAACAAGATCACTACTTTTTTCTATGTTACACACATCTGTGTACATACCCATATAGTTATTTTTTATGCACACAAAAACACATATATGCCTGTGAAATTTATGCATATATACAAGTTTCAATGCTTGCATGCATACTATGCATATATATTAATGCCAAAAGAGTTTCATTGAAGTGAAAATCATGTTTTCTACTATCAAGTATTCCAAATATTTTCACTCCGCAACTCTAATATAATCTCATTTTTCTTAGCAAACTTAGTGTTGAATAACATAGCCATTTTGGTAAGATTGGTTTCATGACATAAATAAATGTGTATGTTTGACCTTGATCAATATTTTTAAGCTTATCAATTTCATTGGTAAGAATTATTATCCCCAACAAATTGCGAGAATTGCAACTATACCGGCCCCTTGTCAAGATATTAAACACGAGCAGTATTTACAATGTCCATATTAAAATTTAACACGTTCTGTTGCAATATAAGGATTTTTCTTACAATTGACTATTAATATTTAGTTTAACAACATATTTTACGAAAACTTGAATGATTAAGGCTAAGTTTGGCATTTTCAAAAAAAGTCAAAAAGTCACTATCCTATTTAAGTTGCATCATCTTATTTAAGTCATATCACCTCTCTACCACATCACTTCAAACCCAACTCACATTTCATAAAAAGTCAAAAAGTGTACTTATTTAGAACATCCCAAACAACCCCTAAATCTTATCATTTTCATCACGTGAATGGTTTGGGTTCATGGCTAGGTTTTCCCTGTAGAAATAATTTCAACCACTTTATGTTGTCAACAGTCAGTGGAATTTCCCCAATTCTTTATTGCATTTCAGGCCCATCCCACGTCAGCCGTGCTTGCAGCCACATGCACACTCATTTCTTATATGCTAATGCACTTGCGATGCTCAACTCTTTTGAAGTTTATTATTTTCATCTTTGGTGTCTTCTAAAATGTTTGCAGAGTGAATGATCCTGTGGCATTGAAACTACTAAACAAGGCAGGCGAAATGCCCTCACTGGAACCCCCAGATGACGAGAGCATCAAAACCCTCTATGTGGGTGGGCTTGATGCAAGAGTGACTGAGCAAGACTTGAGGGACAACTTCTATGCCCATGGTGAAATAGAGTCTGTAAGGATGGTGCTGCAACGTGCTTGTGCTTTTGTAACCTACACAACAAGAGAAGGTGCAGAGAAAGCAGCTGAAGAACTCTCCAACAAGCTTGTCATAAAGGGTCTGAGGCTGAAGCTGATGTGGGGTAGACCACAAGCACCAAAACCAGAGGGTGAAAGCTCGGATGGAGCAAGACAGCCGGCAACAGTGGCTCATAGCGGGATGTTGCCTAGGGCAGTCATATCCCAACAACAGAACCAACTACAGCCACCAGGTACTACTCAGGACCAACCCCAACCGACGCATTACTTCAATATTCCTCCGCCACCTCAGCAGGATAGGACATATTATCCATCAATGGATCCTCAGAGAATGGGTGCCCTAGTTCTATCTCAAGAGGGGGCTCCTAATCGGCCCACAGGGTCCGTTGATAACAAAACCGATTCAGAGAAGCAGCAACAAGGAGGGCAGCATTATGGTTACCAAGCTTTGCCGCCGCTGCCGCCGCCGCCACCTCAAGGTCAATTTCACCAGCCATTTTATCCACCATACGGGTATATGCCCCCGCCGCCACCACCTCCACCTTACCAGCAATACCCTCCTCCACCTTATCACCCTACAATGCGCCCTATGCCACCACAGCCGCAGCCGCCACCAGTGGCCCAGCAGTATCAACATTCTGAACAGCCAGGATCATCCCAGAAGTGATATCTGTCTTGACATGGTGTCTTGTGGTGAGTCCTTGTACTGAGGCAGTTGGTTGATTCATCACTGGCTGTTGTATTTTGGATGATGATACATTTTCTTTGCTTTTATGTTTATGCCAGCATTTTAGGATTACTGTTGTCAACTTTTTCAAGGATTTTCTGTTCATTTTTATCCAAGCAATTATAATTTTATGATCCTGCTTGACTAGATTGAACTTTTAGATGCCATATGTTGCTGTCAATTGTTGCCTTGTCTGTCACATATATATGTATATATTTTTTATTGAGATTTCTGGTTTTTGTTTACTTGGGTTTCTGGTTAATATGACCAAACACAAAAAGATGGTTAATATTACTAATCCAACCACATTATATGTTGAAGAATATAATTATTAATTAAAAAAAACATATCAAATATTATAAAAATACTTGGGCTTCAAACTAGGAGGTGTTTTTCTTTTTCTTTTTTTTTGAATATTCTTAAAAAAAATTAAATTAAATTAAAAAATTGACTCACTTTTCAAATTATTTAGGAAATCAACTCACTTTTGAAATGCGATTTCAGGTCGACATAGATATCAACACGCTAATGTGACAAGTTGAAAATGAGATTTCAAGTTGACATGGCTTCTATTGCGATAACGTCACAAGTTGAAATTACATTTTCAACAAATGATTTCTGCATAAACTCGCATTTTGAAATGAAATTTTAAGTTGCACAATTACAAGACCCGTTTTGAAAATGACATTTGAAATTGAAATTCAACAAATCCTTGGCAAATTAAAATTCCTTTAGCTTCAATTATTTTTTAACATATATAGCCAAACTATTCATATTATTTTAGTACATATAAACTTTTATTCATATTAAATCATCACTTCTAGTATGCTGTTTTTTTTCCCTTCCCATATATTAAAGTGAAGTTTGAAAAAAGATAAAGACTCCCTTAAAATAATATAGTAAACTATAATTTTAATATGATTATACTGAGTTACCTTATTTTAATTTGTATAATACTTAATTTTTATTAATAATTTTTTTAGTTAACATGTGTATTAACTAAAATCGCATTTAGCATTAGTGACTACCTACTAACTTGTCGAATTAACTAACGATGCATTACAGTTTGAATTTGTACTATGCCACTATGTGGTTCTTCAATAAAAATCTTATATTGTGCACTTATTATTTTTTAGGATAAATTACACTGACCTTCTTTGAAATTATATAAAAAAAAAAATACATAAAGCCTCACATTTTTTATATAATTAAGTTAATCTCCCTTTTAGTAAAGTGAAATAGGCCCAAACAAATGCAGATATTGTGTAAGTATGAAATAAATAACGTAAAATATACAATTTTGTTTAAAGAGGATGACGATATTATTTTTTCATCCATATGACTAAAAAAATTATTGATGAAACTTAAGTATTATACAAATTAAAATAAGGAAATTCAATTAATTATATTAAAATTGTAGCTTTTACTATATTACATTAAGGCAGTTCTTATCTTTCTTCAAAAATTCACTTTAATATATAAGAAGGGGAAAAAATTCAGACACACAAGAAGTGATGATTTGACATGAATAAAAATTTATATGTATTAAAATAATATGAATAGTTTGGTTACATATGTTAAAAAATATTAAAGTGAAAGGAATTTCGATCTACTAAGGAATTGTTGAATTTCAATTTCAAATGTCATGTTCAAAATGGGTTTTGTAATTGCACAACGTAAAATCGCATTTTCAAAATACAAGTTTTATGTTGAAAATACAATTTCAACTGCCACGTCATCACAACAGAAGCCATCTCAATTTAAAATCGTATTTTTAACGTGCGATTTTAACTTAGCACATCGGCTCATCGTTATCAATGTCAACCTGAAATTGCATTTTGAACTTGCGATTTCAATGTTCAAAATCTGATTTCAAGTTGAAATTGCATATTCAAAATGCAATTTTAAAAATATATTAATTTTTCAAATAATTTAAAAAATGGGGATTTTTTTAAGGTCCGTAGTATTAAAATTTTATAACATAAAGGACACTCAGTATTTTCATAATATTTAAGGCCCCTCAACATCGATTCAAAGAAAATTTGATCTAGATAATTTCTTTGGACAAATCTCAAAAAAAAATCCAATTTCCTTTGGACAACAATGAGGACTAGTGCTCTGCTTCAGAGAAGATTGGGTTGGTCCAGAGAAATTCTCTAGTTTGGATTGAATTTTCTCTAGGTTGAACTGAATTTTCTTTGGTTTGGTCCAGATAAATTTTCTGGTTTATATTGAATTTTCTCTGGTATAGATTGAAATTTCTCTAGATTGATTTGAGGAACCTTAGACATTCTCTCATTGGCATTTCATCGAACACCTTCTTTGCTAAATCCATGTCCCTAGCACTATGCATATTTTGCATAATTTCAAAACAAGCTTGTACAGTATCAAAATGAAGTATTTTCTTTGATGAAATATGATCATTTGTTCAAATTTGGAAAAAGAATATAACAAAATTATTTTGAGGGTAAGAAATCCATGAATTGAAAGCAACATTCACAATCTGGAAAGATGTGAATTGTGTGTAACTCATTCATAGCATATTTATTATATTAAAGACGCATGGAATTTAATTGAAGACACTTGATCATTTTTCCTTCTGAAACTCCAAAGACTATAATTGTCCTTAATGTAGTCAAGGAAGCTTACAAAACTACTACATGGAAGCCACTCATATAACAATTTTCTACAGAGAAACTCTCTCCAAATAATTTTTGGGAATTTCTCTGCACTTCCCAATGAATTTTTTTGGACCTTTTAGAGATTTTCTCTCCAAATAAATTTTAAATTTCTCTGCACTTCCTAGAGAATTTCTCTAGGTTCAAACTAGAAAAATCCATAAAAATTTATCTAGCTTTGTTTACAGACAATTGAAATTTCTCTAGCTCTCTCATCACATAGAATTTCTATGACTTTGTTCACAAATTTCTATGTGTTTATTCACAATTTTAAATCAGACAAAATTGTTTTAACCAAACCAAAGAAATTTTAAACAAGCCATGCAAATTTCTTTGTGTTTCTTTACAATTTTAAACTATAAAAAATTGAGTATAATGACAAAGAAGAAAATAAGCGATTCACAAAGAAAAAATTCATTGGTAACATGTAGCAAGAGGTCTTTTATGCTAAATTTTTTTACCGAGCTTACTAAAACTCACTGCCTCAACTAGCAAATTTATCCTAGATAAGCACAATGTTTGATTAAATTTGGACAAGTTACTTGAAAGAATAATGCTCATTTAAGCAATGATGGCTGGAGTCAAATAAATGAACCCAAGCTTGGCCATAGGTCCATAGATCGACCAAATGAAGTTCAAAAGCCCAATTATGTGTTTATTTTGGTTGATTTCAGTTCAAAATTTCGTGTATTAGAAAAAAAGGAAAACACTGGTAAAAGAAAATTGGTTTTCAAAAACCAACCTTTTTGGTTTCATAAGTGACTTCTGGAGGCAACCGCAAGCAAGTTGAGTAGAGTAAGGACTCATACACAGCAAGAACTTGAAGATTGAAAATGCACTTACTCAAATTTTCTCTATGCATTTGTTCACAATTTCTTCTGTGTATTTGACCAACACGAAGAAAATTGAACTAGTCTACTGATATATGTAACCAGAGAAAATTAAAACCCAGAGAAAATTTTCTCGGTGTAAGGGTAGTATGTACTTTCTAAACAATCTACAGTGATGTCATTAGGAGGTTAGTTTTAATTTGGAAGAAAAAAAACATGCAAAACAGATATGAATAAATTCTTAAGTATTTATCTTCCCACATTTGGATCATATCCAGTGACATAGTAAGTGGGGAACACCTCAAAAGCAACCTCGACACATGTAATGAGCATCTTGAGGATCCATTTGAGAAGAGCATACGTCCAGGGGGATAAAAAGAGAAGGTCCCTTTGCTTGTGAAAAATGGGAAGCTTCACAATATTATCACGGCCATTTCCCATAAATCATTAAACATGATCATATTTACAGTGAAAAATAAAGAACCAATATATATTCCTCCATCAGTTATTGAATTTCGAACTGACTCATCGATGGAGTAGTAAAAAGTGCAATATTCACGAACCCTCGCAGCTCAGATTGCGGCGGTTCAGCTTAGATCATAGCATTCTGGCGACGACGTGGTAGAGATAGATGCGAAGGTGAATATCAGAATGCGCACAAAGAGAGAAAGTTTGGTTTGGATAGAGTGAAGATCAGAGAGAGAGAGAGAGAGAGAGAGAGATAGTCAAATTTATATGGGTGTAGGTTTAGGGACTTTCGACATCAAAAAATAATATTGTGGATCTATTCCATTACTAAAAATGAGAGAGAGACTTTAAACTAATTTTCATTTTAAAAAGTGAGTCAATTCTCTAATTTATTTTTTTTAGAATATTAAAAAAAAGAAAAATCGTCAAACTAACCATGTTAGAGGTATAAGAGGATCTTGGTCCGGACACAAATTAGCTTGTTTGGTTTGGATTTTCAAGATTCACTTTTCAGAAAATTATTATTTTTTTATTTTCACTGAATTTTTTTAATATTTTAAATAATTGTTTTATTTTATTTTTAGATACTCCTACCATAAATACACATCAAAAGTATAATATTTGTGAAAAAATTCTTTAGAAATTCCACTAAATATAAAAAAATACAAAAAAATATGAGAATTCAATACATTTTTTTTATATTTTTGTGTATTTATTGGTTTTTATTTTTTTTTACAAGTATTTTATTTTTTAAATACATCTAAGTAAAGTAAATCTAAAAAAGTAAAAAAAATTGGTTAAAATTTTAAAAATATTAACTATTTTTTTTTTTTATATTTTTCAAAAAATTGAAATCAAATACATTGAATAATTTTCCAACAATTAACAAAAGAGGAATTAATAGCTCATCTGGTCAGAAATAAAATAAAAGAGAAAAATAAAATTTGAGGGTAAATTACAAATATACCTCATGAAATTTGATTAAAATACGAATTGTTTCTTATAGTTTGAAAAATTACAAATACCTCACTGTCAGAATTTTTTATTTAATAAAATTAACTGAAATTCTTTTTTCTAACTATTCTCTTATACAATAATAAAATTAGTTGAATTATTAATTGAAATAAAATTTTAATATTATTAAAAACTGTTAATTAACTTGATGATTTATTAATAAAATGCCTATTTGTTATGAAATTAGAAACTTGAGGGACATAATATAATTTCTAAGACCACATAGAGTAATTCATAATTTAAATAAATACCGTAACTTTTTCATAATTTGTTTGGGTAAATAAATAGAGGAGAAACAGAAATAGACTTAGTGTAATTGTTAAAATAGATTATAAATTATAACTTAACAGATTATAAATTTTGACTTTAATTAGATTACAAATTATAACAAATGAAAAAAAAAAATGAGAATTTTTTTCTTAAATTTTATATTTTGTTTCTCAGTTGTGTGATTAATTGAAAAATAAAATTTTTAAAAAATCTAAATTTTCTACTACTACAAAACAAATAAAATAGAATGTCATTTTTAATTTAGGTTTGTATTTAAAAAGTAGGTTAAAAATTAATTTTTTTAATTTTTTTTAAAAAGAACATATAAAAAAAATAAAAAATGAGCAAACTTTTTATCTAAATGAGAAATTCATCTATATTTTTTCAGCAGTGCTACGTAGCTCGTATCCCCTAATAAAAAATTACACTGTTTTTCTTCTTTTATTTATTTATTTATTTTTTTTGGCAGATCAGAAGAACGATCGAAGAAGAAGAAGAAGAAGAAGAAGAAGATGGAAGAAGGAAGAAAGGAGGAGAATGAGGAGGAGGAAGGAGGGAGGAGGAGGAGGAGGAAGGAGGGGGCATAATATTCAGGGGAGGAGGAGGCGGAGGCGGGACGACGGCAGTAGGAGGCTGCGATGAGCTGCGGTGGGGCTGCGACGTCGAAGCTGCTGTGACGGAGGCACAAGAGGGGACGATCGGCGGCGGAGCTGCTTCTCTCCTCTCCTCTCTCTGTCCCCCTCTCTCCTCCTCTCCTCTTTCTCTCTTATCTTTCTCTCCCTCTTCTTCTTCCTCTGCAGACTGAAAAATGGAAGAAGAAAAAGAAAAAGAAAAAAAAAAAGCCTAATCGTTTTGGGCATTAGGGGGAAGGATTTTCGAGCTCTCAAATATTATTCATATTTTTTTCCTGAATAAAGATTGAGACCCCCTTTCCCCACCCCTTTTTGACCCCTTTACTTTTTGATTGACCATTTTTTTTTTTTTCTCTTCCTCCAATCACCATCCGTCACGTATAAGGAAGAAAGGAGGAGAAGGAGGGGGAGGAAGGAGGGAGGAGGAGGAGGAGGAGGGACTGGAGGGGGCATAATATTCAGGGGAGGAGGAGGCGGAGGCGGGACGACGGCAGTAGGAGGCTGCGATGAGCTGCGGTGGGGCTGCGACGTCGAAGCTGCTGTGACGGAGGCACAAGAGGGGACGATCGGCGGCGGAGCTGCTTCTCTCCTCTCCTCTCTCTGTCCCCCTCTCTCCTCCTCTCCTCTTTCTCTCTTATCTTTCTCTCCCTCTTCTTCTTCCTCTGCAGACTGAAAAATGGAAGAAGAAAAAGAAAAAGAAAAAAAAAAAGCCTAATCGTTTTGGGCATTAGGGGGGAAGGATTTTCGAGCTCTCAAACATTATTCATATTTTTTTCCTGAATAAAGATTGGGACCCCCTTTCCCCACCCCTTTTTGACCCCTTTTCTTTTTGATTGACCATTTTTTTTTTCTCTTCTTCCAATCACCACCCGCCACGTATGTGTGGGTGGTGAGAGTTGAAGTTTGAGAGAGTCTAAAACTGCTGTTTTTCCCCTACCGTTCCTTACGTGGCGCAAAACCACAGGGGGAGCAAAATCAACCGATTTTAATATAATATTCGCGTCCGCTCCTCCAGAACATTCTCTTTCGTCCCTCTATATAAACTTTTTTTTGGAACCAACTTGTGGTTCTCCACAACAGAGAGATCTAGAGAGAGAGAGAGAGAAACGCAACCTCATATCATATAGGAGTTGAAAGATACTGATCGATCATCAAACACGGTGAGTCTTTAATTTTCGCCTCTTGCATATCTTGATCTTTCAATTTGTTGAATAAGCATGTAATTGAGATAGAGGAGAACATATATTATATAATTTGCATCCTGATTTTTTTTTGAAGAGTAAAGCTTTGTAGCTCGAATTTTTTGAGCCCCGAATTGCCCGAATTTCTATCTCCTCTCCATCTCTCTCGCTGACCCACCCTTCGGCCTCCTCTTCTTCCTCCAGATCTATTTTTTCAGAACAGAATCCATGTATAAATCAACAACTCTCCAAAACAAAGATAGAAATTGAAGAAAGAAATAAAAAAAAAAATCAGAGAAAAGAAAGATGGAAATTGAAGAAACCAGATTTTGAGAAACCCAAATCCATTACTATGGTACTTTGTGGTATCAGAGTTTGGAACAACCTGAGAAGAGACTCCATTGTCTAGACCCACCAAGGTCTCCAAACCCACAGCCTCAAAATCCATCATGTAACTTCCACCAATCTCCTGAGATTTACAAAGCAAGAGTTCATGAGAGAGAGAGAGAGAGAGAGAGTTACGCCATGAGAGGGAAGAGCTTGGTTTTGATTTTGATTTTGATTATGTGGGTTTGGTTTTGATTTTGTTTTGATTTGAGATATGTTGTTGTGATTAAGAGATTTGTTTGTATGCTTGATTTAAACATGGGTTTTTATGCTACTCATCTCATTTCTGTGATTCATGAGACCCATTTGTTGAATGTTTGTTTGTATATATGAAAGAAGATGCGGGTTTTGGGAGCATCTCTGTTGGTTAGATATTGGTTCTCAAATGTTTAACAGAAAAGAGAGGAGGAAGGAAGAAGAAGAAACGGGAAAAAAAAAAAAAAAAAACAAAAACGACGTCGTTTTTGCCTACTCGAGCCATGTGGGGCAACTACATTCGAGCTACCTAGCAAAACTTTTTTTTGAATCTATACTTTTGTGGTTTCATTCTTAATTATTAGTTTTTTTTTTGATGTGATCGTTTTCTGATCTATCATATGGGGTGTTTGGGAAGATGGGTTTGAGGTTAAAAAAAGCTCCTAAACCAACCCTTTTTATTAAAAAAATAAAAATAAAAATAAAAATAAAATAGGGCTGCCGTGGGACAGTGTAGGCACAGCCTACACTGTTGTTCCATCACTTGCTAAATTACGATTTTGCCCCTTTACATCACTTTTGGAAATTGGAAAATGTAATCTTAGGGACAAATTTGCCATTTTAATTTCAAATATCATCTTAACACATTTTTCAAAATAGCAACTCAAATAAAAATTCATTCCATCTTCCCAAACACAAAAACTAAATAGCCTGCTAAAATAACTACAAAGTTAAAAAACTTTTAAAATAGCCACTTCCCAAACGAGGTGATATTGCCCATGAATTATTGTTGAACGTCAAATTTGCTTTTAATTGAATATATATATATATATATATATTTATATATTTTAATTCTGTAACATTGTATTCTGTAACATTGTCTCTTATGCATATATGGTCTTAAAGGTGAACCCTTGTTCCAATATTTTGTGTTTTCAGATCCTTTTTAGTCTTTATTTTGTGTGTTTTTCTTATGAAATTAAGCAACGAAATTGAAATTGTTCTTAATCCTTTTGACGGAGGATAAATTATTTTAAAATCCAACTTTTGATGCGGCTGATTTGTAGATATTTTGGAATTTTTGGAATTTTTATTATTGTTTATGGTTTTGATGTATTGAAGTCATTCACCCTTATTGAATGAGGAAACTATAGTGCCTCTTACTTGCTGAAAGCAATTTGTAGGTGGTGAGAATTTGGAATTTAAATGTCCTACTTCTGAAATTGTTTTGCGGGCTTGTTGGTATAAATCTCAAACCAAATTATCTTAAGATGTGTGATAAAATCTTTACATGTTTCAAAGAGTCAGCTTTCACTTTTAGCGGTAGAAATGATATTTAAAATATGATGTGATAAAAACTTTAAGACATTCCAAATAAACTTATTTCTCCTACTTTTTGAGCGTAGAACTGAACTGATATGTGAAATCTGTTAGCATGTCATGGTTGTTTTATTTATTTGGTGGTCAGAGCTTTTGTGGTTTAATGGTTTACTTAAGCACTTCATTAGACATTATTACGGGAAGATGTAGGCGGAAGTGTTAATAAAATGAAGCATGCACTTTGCACACTCTAGTGCTTGAATTACTCAATTGATTTGCCTATGTTCTTGTTTTATCTTAGTATTATATCCCATCATAATTTTTTATTATTCTATTTTTATTGTACTAAGTTGTTGCTTTTAATGTATTTTTTCAGATGTCATACTCTAAAAGGTCAAGGTGTGTTTGATACTCATTTCTAGACTCTATGGAGTTGATATTTTGGATTTGGATTTGGGCTCAGTTCTTGAAGTGTCCCTAATGTAACTGTTTATTTGCCACAACTCTTTTAGGTATTATCGCTCTCCTTCCCCATACGGGCGGTACAGTAGGTCTGTCTCAAGGTCGGTGTCTAGATCAAGGTCAATATCAAGGAGCCGATCAAGGTGCTGCCTTACAGCCCAATTGAATCTTTTCCTTATTTTTTTTGTTTTTTTTCCCCCTTCAATTTTTTAGTTCCTAGTTTCATTTTTCATTTTTCTTTTAATTCATTGTCTATTTGCTTTTGAGGGAGTTTCCTTCATCTAACGTTCTTGGTAATATGGCATACAGGAGCCGTGAGTCGAGTGTTGAGAATCCTGGGAACAACCTCTATGTGACGGGATTATCAGCGCGGGTCACAAAGAGAGACCTTGAGAAGCATTTCTTAGCGGAGGGAAAGGTATGTCTGGAGTGTGTTCTCTTTCCCCTTCCTTTCTTCTCTCTTTCACACAAATACACATGCTTATGTATGTACTTTTTGTGCAAGTAATAATGTCAAATTTGAGTATTTGAGTCATGCATGGAATCTCTTTCATGCTTTTGATCTACTGGTTTTTAATTATTGTAGGAAATGATCATAGGATGCCGTTTGATTTATTTTTTGAAATACATCTGTTAGATGTGCAAGCAGTAGGTAGCTAAAATGTTGGTAGTTCTTTCAGTATTCTGGCTTAAGATTTCAGATAGGTGGCATCTCATTCTTCATGCTTACTAATTGGAGTTTGGCTTTTTCAGGTGGAGGATGTTCATCTCGTTGTTGATCCATGGACAAGGGAATCTCGTGGATTTGGTTTTGTGACAATGTCCACTGTTGAAGAGGCCAATCGTTGTGTCAAATATTTGAGTCGATCTGTTCTGGAAGGCCGTGTCATTATGGTGGAGAAGGTATAATAATCTAGTTTCTGTAATATTTCTTGCAATCTCTGGTTATATTCAATCCCATTTCCTACTACGGCTTGAAATTCAAGCGCGAATTGTGTAAATGGTGTTCACGGTTTGCTACTGGTTCTTTATGTTTGAAAGTTGTTTGCTTGTTTCGCCTGAAGTTTTTGTGGCGGCAGGGTAGCTCTGTGTAGCAGCTCTTCACCAAAGTCAATACAACTAACAAATCAAATCAAACTCATCAAGCAAATATCAGACTATTATATCAGAGGGTTGTATGCCCTGCATTTCTCTTTCTCTAGCGATTTAGCCTTATATTCTCATTCAATTACTACTTATCAACTTTGTCATCTGTGCTCCCCTTTGTGTTCTTTGATCCAATTTGGTCTACCTTGTATTGTTTTGGTTGATGTTGAATTTCATGGTCTCATGCTTTATATCTATTTTTCCAGGCTAGGAGGCGGAGAGGCCGAACACCTACTCCAGGAAGGTATCTTGGCCTGAGAACAATCCATGGTAAGTGAGTATTCTCCATTATGATAATGGATTTGGGTGGTGATTTGAAAAGTGCAAGGAAAAGGCGAGGGAAATGGAGAATTAGAGAAAGAATTTAGCTTGTATTTCAGTCATATTTGCCTTGCTTTTTTTCCTTTCCCCTTCTAAATTTCTATATAAATCCGTGATCTAAACTTAACGTTAGTCTTCTAATTGCTTTTTGTTCATCGTTCTTACCTGGATCTTTTGTTTCCACTGTTGTAGTGCGACGTGGATCTCCAAGTTACTCTCCCTATCATAGGAGCCGTTCTCCGCGATACTCGTCTGAGCGAGATAGAAGCAGATCTTACTCTCCTTACTACTACAGGAGGAGATCTTACTCGCCTCACTATGACCGCTACAGCCGGAGGTCTTACTCACGATCTTGCTCCCCTTTCAGCAGGTCACCGGTTAGGAGACATGATCGGTCCTACTCTCGTTATGACTCCAGGTACTATTCACCAGAAGACTGCTACTACAGGAGACGCCGCCATCAATCTGTCTCTCGGAGCATTTCACCAAGGGTGAGGAGGAGCTATTCAAACAGTGTGTCACCTGGGCCAAGGAGGAGAAGTTCAAGGAAGAGCTACTCGCGCAGTGTTTCACCAAGGCGCAGGAGGAGAAGCTACTCTCGGAGCATTTCCCCCGTACCAAGGAGGAACTCAAGGAGGAGTATTTCTCGGGACAGCTATTGGAGGAGTCGGAGTGGGGGCCCACGGTCCAGATCTGTTTCAAGGTCTGTTACTCCTTCTAGGTCAGCTTCACCTTCGGCCTGAAAGGTTTGAAAATTACATTCGTGATTGTCGTAGCTAGGGGTGTGCATAATACCGCCGAAACCGCCAAAACCGCACCGCCAAGGCAAATTCGTTATTATTTGTCAATCGAACCGTCGGTTTTTGATAAGAAAAATGGCAAATTCTAGTGACACTTTTATTAATCCGCCGGTTTCTATTTTTCTTCTAAACCGCACCGACCCGCACCGCTATTAAATCATGTTTTATAAGATTCTAAAAATTCTTTTTTACTTAAGTTTGCTTGTTGTTCTATACCTTAGAATATAGTATTACATTACTGCTCGAGGGGAATTTTATGTATTGTATTTGATCATTGTAGTTTCCATAGATGCTTGTAATGAACTGATGGCATAGTCGTTAATATTATCATGTTGTTGCTACACTTGCTGCATCAGAAGAAAGTTTCGCAAGATGCTTAACATCACGGTATCTCTCGTCTTTTTTTTACTCTTTGATTTAAGTTTTGTAATTTGAATTATATTTTTTATAAACCGCCAATCCGCCCGAACCGCCAAGGCAAATCCGCCATTATTTGCCAACCGAACCGCCGGTTTTTGATAAGGAAAGTGGCAAATTCTAGTGACACTTTTATCAATCCACCACCCGCCATACGGTTTCTATTTTTTTCTCAAACCGCACCGACCCGCACCGCGCACACCCTTAGTCGTAGCTGTCTGTGAATAAGAACAGGTCGTAGTAGTAGACGACTAGTAGTAGTAGTTGTATTTTGAACTACTGTTATTGGGAGCTTTTTCAGTCTAGCAGACCACCTGTTTTATATTTTATTTGTTATGCTGTTGATGATATCTTGTTTTATGCTTGCTGTAGAGGTCAGATGAGCTTCGAATAGGATCCTCCGCAATAATTCATCTTTGCAATAATCTTAGGACTGCACGGAATAATTATAAATATTTATAATTATTTTAATTTTTTTTAGTATATAAATTATGTTTTTTAAGATTTTTTATAAAAATAATTTAATAATCTTATCACTAATCATAGTGTACAAGAGAAATTAAAAAGGTTATTGCAGTAATTATGTACGGGCTGTATTTATAATTATTTATATGAGGGGATTTTAAATGTTAATCAGGAATTTTGATCAAATTAATAAATGCAGGTATGTGAATTTAAAAAAAGTTAATAAATGCTGATTAGGAGATTTTGATCAAATCAATAAATGTTGAGGGTTTTTTTTTTTTAAATCAAAAATTTAGAAAATTAAGATTGAAAGATCGGAGCTCCTACAAGGCTTAGGGTTTAGAAACCCCATTTTTCTTAGTATATTTACAATTATCTATATATGTGAATTGCGATTTTTAAATGTCTTGCTGTAACAACCCCCATACTGTTTACTGATTAATGACCGATTGATTACCGATTACTGTTAAATGGAACTGATAACTGACTGATAATTGAACTGATTAAAAGTACTGAACTGACTGACTGAAATTGGAAACCGAATTGATTGAGTATATGTTAGTTAAATGGCATTCTATCTGTTTGACTGTATGATTATCTGTTCATGCTTATATGTTTAAACTACTAATTGAAGGCCTTATCGG